GAGAAAAGAAGGGGGGGGGGGGGGGGGGGGGGGGGGGGGGGGGGGGAGGGAAGCTGCCCGCCGATGCACCGTTTCGCCCGACGTGTTGAGGGCAGTAACGTTCGGAGGATCAGGAACATCTCGCTTTGTGAATTCCTACCCACTGCTTTTCTTAATGTAATGTGGAAAAGTCTGGCTGGCTTCATCCCATTTCAGTAAGGGCTTTGGGATGCACATACTTCGACTAATAGTGAGGATGCTGACATTCCGTTCATTAGTCCGATCAAGCTGTTCTTAAATTACATTTTTAGAGAGTATATAGTTCAAAATGTGAAGCATTTTTATGTTCAATCCATATTTGTCTTGCACATATATAAATATATATTTTATTTTTAGTAAGGAAAAGGAAAAAGGGGGGAGTTGCGTACGTGCCCTTGTATTATTCATGACAGCAGCTGTGACAGTGGCCCTGCAATCAGTTTACTTCATTTCAAAACTGTCTTTCCAATCATAAGGAAAAAAAAAAAAATGTCTTTTGAATGAGCTTCTTACATTTCAACCTGTGGATGTTTCGAGCTTTTTCATCCTCAGTACGTTCCCAAATCTGTGCTGGCATATGTTAAAACAACAAAAACAAAAAAAAAAAAAGACACAAAGTGGAGTTCTGGTGGATTTTTTCTATTTTTTTTGAAGCATTATTTTCCCAAGACAAGACAAAGCTTTTTTCTCAGTATAACAAAAAGAAATTCTATCTGTATTGAGCTAGTAAATATACAGAAAATTTTATTTTTTATTTCCACTTGAAGAGTTACATTTCGTATAAAAGTTTACAAATAACGGTTTTTATTTTATGATTTTCAGTATAAGAGTTGCCTTGACGGCATATTATGTACTGCATAACTTTAATGCTATAATTGCTTGTAGAATAGTTACATGTCAGTATTGAAACCTAATCTCTAGCTGCAGTCTTGTAGATACGAACAAACGTTCACCGAGCATGTCTTTTGTATTTTATTGCATCGTACACCGCAACTAATAAGCCAAGGAATCGACAGACATTAGGTGCGTGTACCATTTCTATAAACCACAAACTAAGAATGATAAACTATCAATATAGTTTAGTATTTGCTAATTTTACTACACTTTTTGTTATGTATATGTAGGGAGGTCATAGGGATTATAAATTCAATTTGAGTAAAGTTTAAAAACCATATATTTTATGATAAAGGGCCTTTAACTTATGATGGCCAAAGCACTGATATTATATATTTGCTGTAAAGAGAATTATAAGAGTTTTATTTTTCTGATATTAAAAGTTACTTAATAAAGACTTGTTTCCATTAACTTGAATGTTTTGCTGTCTTCATGGTTGTCCCTTGGAGCGGCCCGTGGAGGCTGGGGCTGGCTGACATCCCTCCTTCCCTCAAAAAAAAGAAGGGGTTTCCCACCGGGGCCCTGACTTCACGTGCGAGGACTCTTCTTTTCCATTAATTGCTGGCTTTACGTGCTGCCCTTCAAAAGCAACTTGTGGTCTCCCAGAGGGCACAGCTGTGGCTGGCTGCAGTGCCCAGGAACTCGCATTTCGGAGTTATTTCAGTGCAGCTGCGAGAGAAACTCCGTGCACTTGGATTTGTGAGTATCAACCAGCAGCAGGGATCACAGAATGGTTTGGGTTGGATTGAAGATCATCTAGTTCCAACCCCCCTGCCGTGGGCAGGGACACCTTCCACCAGACCAGGTTGCTCAAAGCCCCGTCCAACCTGGCCTTGGAACACTTCCAGGGATGGGGCAGCCACAACTTCTCTGGGCAACCTGTGCCAGTGCCTCACCACCCTCACAGTGAAGGATTTCTTCCTTATATCTAATCTAGATGGACCCTCTTTCAGTTTAAAGCCGTTACCCCTCGTCCTATCACCACATGCCCTTGGAAAAAGCCCCTCTCCAGCTCTCCTGTAGGCCCCTTCGGGTACTGGAAGGCTGCTATAAGGTCTCCCCAAAGCATTGTCTTCTCCAGGCTGAGCAACCCCAACTCTCTCAGCCTGTTTTCACAGGAGGGTTGTTCCAGCCCTCGGATCATCTTCGTGGCCCTCCTCTGGACCAGTTCCAATGGAGCGCTGCAAAAGGACCTCCTGATGTCAAGTTGCATGGGTCTCCCGTTGCGTTTCCTCCCAGTCCGATGGCGGTTTGCACCCTGTGCCCTGGTGCAGAGTGCTTTAATGTTTCCTTCAAGAGTCGTCGTGTCCCCTCTCCGCCTTCTCTCTTCTCTTTCGACTCGGGTTTTGCTGTTGGAAGGAGCCCTGCCGCGGTCTCCTTAGCCTGCGTGTTGCGCTGGCTGGCGTGGCAGCGTGCTTGGATAATTCGGTGGTGTTCGGACAGATCTGTCCGTGCTCCCTGTTGAAGCTCCTTCCCCGTTTCTCACCAACGGGGACCTGCGAGAGGGAGCGGTTCCCCTCCGGGAAGGAGGTTTGCAGCAAAGCAGAGCACCCGGATGGCTGACGGACTCTTCCTGGGACGGAGGAGAGCGACAGCACTTAATAGGAAAAGGCATTTTAAGGCCATCTGGCTTCAAAGGTGTATGTTTATAAACAATACTGCTTGTAACGCTGCCGGAGGCTGTTCCCTGCAGCCTGGCGGTGGGGCAGGCTCTGCTCCCCATGCAGCCGCTGAAGGGCACCCTTGCCGGGCCTCCGTGGTGGGGTAGATGCAGCGGGGTGCTGCTGAGGTGGTTTTTTTATGCCGGCATCTATTTCTGATTATTCTTTGGGGGGGGATTAAAAAAAAAAATAGCTGCTCCTTGCTGGCAGTACACGCAAACGCGTGGACTTGAATTTCTCCTGCTTGGCCAAGGATTTTAGATGCCCGAGGGCCACTTTGTGTGTGGGGGGATGTTTCACCCCTCCTTCATCATCAACTGTTCAAACATCCCCGGGGTATACGGAGGTGGTGGAGCCTGCGCGCCTGCCTGTGGTCCTCAAAGCCACCGCCCTGGAGCTTGTGTCCTCAAATCTAAACTCTCTGTTCACTTTCTTCAGGAGGATGGAGAGAGGAATATTTCTTTTTCACTGCTTTTTTAATAGTAAGTTTTGGGAAGAGATCAAAGAGTATTTAAATTTACTTCACTTGGGTCTTGGGGCGGTTTTAGTGTTGCAGCAAGAGGCCTCAGACATAAAACCTCAGGCAGCGGGGAGCTGTAACCTCGTTATTTCTAGACGTACATCAACCATCTTAAATCCCAACCCCTCCAACACGTTTTAGTTAGCAGAGCAAGTAGCGCTGCCGTTACTTCGGAGTTGCATAAGACAGGCACGGGCTTAAAGACCTCCAGTTCTCAAATTTGTTGTAGTGAATTTATTTTTCCATGCTCAGGAGCACTTGTGATGGGTGAGTAACCCGCCTGGAATTTTAACTCTTGGTCATGGAAAGGGAAGCACTCGCCACCGGGCATCGGCATGAGCCGGTCTGCCCCGCTGCCGGTTGGGCTGGTTAGGAGAGCTAAATGTTTCTCTTTTTTTTTTTTTTTTTTTATTTATTTCAAGGTGACGTTTTAAGGAAGCATTAAGCTTGAATTTTTCCTTTTAGCTTTCCTGGCTGGGTTCTGCACTGGCCCGGGAGCTCCTGCAGCAGCTCTCCCCGGGCAGGGAGGGCGCTGGTTGGGCTGGTTTGGCATCGGCGAGGCTGGTTTGGCATCAGCCAAAAACCCCGCAGGACCTTCACCTGGCAGGGTGTCTCCCAGCCCTGCCCTCCTGCAACAGCACGGAGGTCCGAAAGCCCAGTCCTGGCCCTGGGAAACCTCCTCCGGCCCCTTGTTGGGAGCGAGGGGGAAATAGGGACGGGAAACCTCTCCCGGCTGCCGGGGAAGGAACTCAGGGTTGTTTTCTGCTTGATGTTGCAGATACGGCTTGCTAGCCGTTGTAGGAACCTCAGGGTGGGAAGCAGTGCAGGCTGTGCCTGGAACGGCACGTCCCCGTCCTCAACGTCTGCCGTTGGGTCCTGAAAATCAGCCAGGGTTAGGCTGTTCCTGCTCAGCTATCCGTAGGGTTCAAACTTGCTCCCGGGGACGGTAGGTACAGCGCAGGAGCTGGCAACAAAATGCTTTAAGTTTTAAAAAAAAAATAAAAATAAATCCCTTCTGTGCTTCATGCTGTTCTTTTATTTCTGCGAGAAGTCAGGCTGGTGCACCGGGGCAGGGAGCTGCGCTCAGAAGTCCTCTCCCTCCTTGGAACCAAGACTCCCTTCTCCATGGCTAGTGAGGATGCTTGCGTCGTCTGTAGCTCTGGCAGAGGTAGAAGGGCGATGCTTCCCCCGGGATGAGACCGCCAACGCTGCCTCAGGCCCCGTGTCCCAGGAAGGAGCTCCCTGCCCACGGGCACCTCCTAATCCCCATCCTGCAGCGTTTCTGCTCGTCAGCTCGCTGGAGCTGCCAGTAAAATCAGGCGCCAGGACAACCGCCGGTGCCGGTAAGGCGGGGAGCGCTTTTGGTGGCAGAGGCTGCAGGAAAGGCTCGATCCTTCCTCTGCGGCTGGGACCTGTGGGCAGGTTGGTTCGCGCTGGCAAGGTGCAGGCAGCTGGTGGCAGGGCCGGCGCGAGGCAAGGGGCCGAGCACCCAGCTCCCGGCTCCGGCCGAGCCCGGCTCCGGTACAACATGGAGAGAGCTCAGGCTGGTGGGATCTCACACCAGTGCTGCAGAGCTCCACTCCTGAAAGAAGCATAACTGGTATAAAAAAAAGAAATTAGGGGTTTTTGTTTGTTTGTTTGGGTGGGGTTTTTTTTCCAAAATATCCTTGGCCCAATTTTTTCCAAAGAAGTTGCAGTGCGCTTCCAGGAGCTGCTTGGGTAAAATTTAAAATAAATAAATGCAAAAGGAGCTGAAGGAGCTGGGCAAACCCAAAGAAAACAAATGGGTTTGGGGCAAATGAGCTACGCCAAGGGGCTGTAGGAAATCCCACACGCTGAGGCCAGCAGGCGACT